GTGTTTTCAATTCTACGTCTGGTGAACACTGTGTATTTCACTGTCACCCATGAAACAACAGGACCCTACGTTGTGGCTAATGAGTTTTTCGAGTGGCTGCAGCTGATTCTAGTGCTTATCATACCGGTGATGTTTATTGGTTTTTTTGCACTGCTAATAATGTACGCACTGGGAATGGGAATAGTGTGGTGCTTTCAAAGGGTGGCTAACAAGCATAGAGATGTTCCAGAACCAGGTATTCAAAGATCCCCTGTCCGATTTGAATAATTGGTAAGAAATTATATCAAAAATTTCATCTATAATTTGAGAATCTTAAAAGAAACCATGCTGAGACGTAATTGCCTTTTGATAAAAGAGCATTATCCAATATTATCTCATTACATATCTGTTTCCCCAAAACAGATTGATCCTAATTAAGTTTTCTATCTCAGCATTTTGAGAATTACTTACCATTCAGAAAAGCCTCATTAAGTATACCACAATAGGCTTTAAATAAACATTAGCTGCACCATTTTAAAGTTGTTAAGATGGAATAATGACACAAAACTTATATTTAGCCAGCGACTAAAATTGATTAAAAGAAGACAAACTATCATTGTAACAAGACAGCTTTTTGCAATATTTTAGAGTAATTACTTTTGTGTGGTAATTTGTTTACCTTGGTGCTTCTTCAATGACTTTCTGGTTCCTCCTCTGTATAGAGCATTCTCTCTCATTCAGCCACAGAGCATTGCCATGTTTATCACACAACACCTAAGGTAATAATGGTATTTAGAATACAGCATAAAAATCAACAGCCATTGGCTTTCATAATGTATTTGTGTGTATTTATAGATAATAGTATTTCTATAAGATCTGCATGACAACGAAGTTTAAGCATATATTGGGTTTTATCTTGAATTTACATCATGATATATTGTACTCTGATATTATATCTTTAAAATTGTGTAAATTCTCATTCAAACCACTGCATGTCTATTCAAACATGTTGAAAAATAGCAAAAGACTATCTTTTGTATCTTTCATTTAAACATTTTATTCACGTACGTAAGACACAAAAGCAATTGTTTAAGAATTAAAACTAGCAAGATAAAAATCCTATTTAAATCAAGTCTGGTATCATTTTTACTTTACAACTTATTCAAAGAACCCTACCTGCATCTCAATATGCCTTGGCTCCTCAATAAACTTCTCAATGAGCAAGCGGTCGTCACCAAAGCTGGACGCAGCCTCGTCTTTACAAAAACGGTAGGCATAGCGTGCCTCTTTGTCATTGTATGCAATCCTCATTCCTTTACCACCACCGCCAGCCGAGGCCTTGATCATTACAGGATATCCTAATAGAATAGTATGAAATTAAATAAAACAAGATAAGAGAGGTTTGGCCAACTCCAAAAGATCTACCACCAACCGCAGCTGAGGCCTTGATCATTACAGGCTATCCAAATAGAATACATTAAAATTAAATGAAACTTGAGGATCAGAGAGGCATGAACACCTTCTGGGGATGTACCACCACCAAAAGGGGATTCTTTAAGATTACACCCCACATTTGTGTTAAGAATATGTACAATATAAAGATCTGAAATTATCAAGCTGAAATATTGTCCACTCATTTACCTATCTCATTGGCTAGTTTCACGCACTCATCCACACTTTCCACCACACCGTCATGTCCAGGAATCATGTTCACTTTGGCCTTGGTGGCAATCCTCTTGCTTTCTATCTTATCTCCCATGGCGTGGATGGCTTCACTGTTGGGACCAATGAATGTAACACCGTTCTCATGCTGTTGGTTTGAAGAATATAAAAAAATGGAAATATTAGAATACAAATCTAGTGAAAGATAGAGGTGCAGCCACTTCCTGGGTATGTACCACCGACTGGATGATTAAGTATATCAAAGTGATATATTACATAACAATATAATGCTAAAGAAACAATTTCTGTACTGAAAAGTAAAGGTAATTAAAAACAATAAAAAAATAAGATTATAAATCCTTTGTGCTAAAGGATCCAAGAGACACAGGTGTGTCACATATATCTACCACCAGCTGGGACTGGCATGCCAGAAAGATAACACACAAAGACATTTCTATAATGAGCTGGTCATAAGAAGAAGGCATTCAGATATGCATACAGGTCACAATGAGATGGTTATATACACTCACCAGTTTTGCAGCAAAGTTTGTGTTCTCGGACAAGAAGCCATACCCAGGGTGAACCTGAAAAATTATAAGAAAAAAAAAATTCAGGGTGATTATACACAAATCTGTAACATTTCACTTATTGTGAAATCTCATTGCTTCAGAATTGATCATTTTAATTAATTTCTCACCAAAAAATTTATTTTAAGACAAGAACCAAAATTGTCTTTCAGAGCTTTATTAATCATCCTTTGCAGGATTTACGCATCTTTGAAAATAATGAAGAGTCATAGAATTAAAAGATATCACATGTGTGTGTAAGTTATCTATGTGTGCATGTAAGTAAATGGTATGCTACAACTTGAAATGTGACAATAAAAAGAATGTTGTGAGATCTCTAGAAAATCTCTAAACAGTTTAGGAAAATGACAAAAATGACCTAAAAAGCTCTAACTTTAAAAAAATAAACTTAAATTTAATAAGCATATGAATAAAATACCTACCGCCTGTGCCCCAGTTTGTTTGACAGCATCCAGGATGGCGTCCATGTTGAGATAGCTCTTAGATGTTGGAGCTGGGCCAATACAGATGGCTTCGTCAGCCATTAAGACAAAATTCTGTCAGGTGTAAAAGAAAAAAAAAGTTTGGTTACTATTTGTATATAATACCTATCATACAGTCAAGTAAAATACAAACTCAAGGATGAATTTTAAGAATTCAGAAGTAAGTTTGTGGACATAAGTCATCAATGATTCTACAGCATAATCTTAAAAGTGTAAAAATTGAATTTTTTGCTACATTTCAAACAATCTACTTGATGTTATTATATATATATATATATATATATATATATATATATATATATATATATATATTATTGTACTATATTGTATTATAGTATTGTACTCTATTCACTTAACAATAAACATCTTCGCATTTTCTTTTTTATCTTGTTTTGAAAAAAAAAATGTAACAATTTTTTTGCAAACAAATAAAGATTTTATTCCAATGTCTGACACCAGATGATTACAAAATCTATACCTTCCTTCCTACATTTCTGACTGGTTTCCAGTGACTTTCCACAGACAGACAACAAAATCAAGAAAAAGTTGTAAAATACTGTATATTCATCATCTCTGAGTCAACAACTATTTATTCATCTTCATAAACTCACATTGTAAGAGTCAACATCGCTGTGAACTGCGACAGTTTTGATTCCCAGGCGACGACAGGTGTTAATGACACGTACAGCAATCTCTCCTCTGTTGGCAATGAGGATCTTGTCAAATTTCTGATGAAGAGAAAAACCGATAAATATTAGACATTAAAAATTCTGTCTGTAGGATATAATCGATTCCATCCCCATCCTCCAAAAATTTTCATTGACACAAAAACTATTTCTAATATACAAAACTCAACTCAAACCTTCTTTTGTGATAATAAATATGTAAAATAAAAATAAAAAAAAATAATTACTTGTTAATTATTTAGTTGTACTGATCAGTTTCTCTTGGGTTAGTACATTTTAGACCTTGTCAGATCAAAAGGTCAGTGAGTAGGTCATTAGGTTTTTTGGTACACACTGGATTTAGGCATGTACTAGTAAGGGTTCATAGTCTAAATGATAACCTAAAATGAAAAGATTTAACACTGGCATACTTACACTCTCCTTAGGATCATACTTGTCATTCCAGTAGATATCCTTGTTAAGGAGATGGGCTGTGGTACTTATCCCTCTCTTGTGGAATGTCCCAAGCACCTGTTAAGAAATGTGGTAAAATGAAGCTAACTCAATATAAAACAATAAGCAAACAAATGTAATTTTTTTCTGATGGAATAAATAGTAGTGCAACATTAATTTTAGGTTAAAAATATCTGATGTCAACATCACTAATAAAGGAAAGTGTTGGATGAGACTACGAGATCTGAGGTAAGCCTCAAAGAATATTAAGTTTTATGAGAAACTTAGAACACAATACAGTATATGTCCTCCAAACATTACACTTTTTTTTAAACTTTCATTGTTATTTTTTTCATAAATTTCATTATGTGGTGACTTTAAACATTTTCTATGTAATTCAAGTTAATTTGCTTGATTTTTTCCAAATGCATTTTTAAAGTTTTTTACAAAAAGAAACTTCAAGCCCATTCTAATATATTATGACCCAAGCACAATTCAGGAGTTAACAAGGGAAAATCTGAAAAGAAGAGACACTATTCAAGGTCACCACAAAACTGAATTTAAAAAATCAAAAGCCAAATACTGAGATGCTGACAATACCGGGCGAAATGACACAAGTTTGGTGTTAAATTTAACCATTGCTTGTAATGGCCTAGAGTGAAGCACAAAATTAATGCTGTCTGAGCAAGCAATACCTGTAAAATATTCTGTCGCCTCGTTAAAAATTACAATGACGCAAAGACAGATACAATATTTACATTACATTAAAAGTCTAAACTTGCCCAAGTTTTTATTTTTTACAAGGTGACCGCAAGCGCGCAAGGGCACCGGCTGAAACGATTAATGCTATGTGCAGATCAAAAAGTTGCAAAAAGATGCCAACCTTTTTAATTAAAGGGGGATGCTATACCAAGAATGCACAATTAATGTTTTACCTGATAACGCCCGCAGTTAGAGGCATTTCGAAGACGAATACTGAGAGCTGTCGATCCGAGTCTCAAGGTCGCCGCCATGTTTACAAGGGTAATCTCGCGTGAAGATGCGAGAGGAAATAGTTCACAAAATTATATAAAATATTTATACTAGAATAGATTTGTTTAGTAGCATAAACTAGCTTAAAGAAATCTTAATTATCACATGGAATGTATGTACTCTATAAAAAGACATAAGATTTGTAATAAAGAAATTGGTGAAATATTACATATTCATGCGTGGGTATGAACTACTTTTACGTAGGTCACTTGTTTACTTCCTAAAAAATTGAGCTACTGCTTGTCAAACAAGAAACCAATGGTAATTGCAAGCAAGAGAGACCAAAAGAAAGCTGATAAGGACTGGAAAGTCTGCAGTAAGTCTCTTGCCATTTTAATTCTTTTAGGAGCTAAACATGGAAATAATGAACCCGGAATATGAAAATGGCGGTAGCCATATTGGATTTCTTCACAATGCATCTCAGACTGTTTCCTACATTTTAATTTACGATCATTCGCTATATGACAACCTCTGTCATATTTTGACAGATGTGCTGGTTGTATACATGCATCATAAAAAGAGCATACAAACGAAAGTTAGTGCTCTGCATCACTTGTTTTTCTACCGGCGTCTTTTTTTATTTAGTGCTGACATTCAGGAATTGAAATAAGGGGGTTTCCATTAATATTTAGTATGAATTATTTTCAACTACAGAACCTTAATATATCCGGCTCATATCACACCTGAGTTACATATCAGCCTATCAAATGCAGAATAAATTGGCTTTCAGCCCAACCCCTTTCTGCAAAACCAAAACGGCTGGAAACTTTCATTTTCTTATCTGAAATCCAATGGAGGTAGATGATATAGAAATTTTACTTCTTGAAGTGTATGTGTAGGTGATTATTGTGCATGACTTAGTTGTCCTGTGTTATGTTAACTTTTTAAATAGATCAACAAATTACAATGCTAATCACTGGTAAAGTTTGTCTAAATGAATTCTGCCTCACATGGCCTAACTTCAAGTGTTAATTTATTCTCCATCATTCTGTACACCTAGGCCAGATAAAAACTGACATGAGAACAGTATGAACAATCCAACACACTAGCTGAGACATTTTTCCAGGGCTCTTCACATGAGACCCATAGATATCCTGAGTGTGGATAAAAATAGAAGCTGATATTTCAGCATTCATGAATAATATATTTGTCAGTATTTACAGAGTCATTTCAGGATACTTTTAAGAATGTGAAGGACAAAACAAACAGCCAGACCGACCTTGGAATTGTAATTCAGATTGCTTATTGTTTCAGATTGTCACTGACTGGCAAAGAAGAGTTTAATATACTACTGAGTGTCATTTTGATTTTAGTCTAGCTAAATGCTCACTCACTCACTCATTCACTCACACATGCTTGTTATTGTTCAGCTAGCCAACATATTGTGTTTTTATTGTCACATATTGTTGAAGTTCTATGCATTTTTGCCAGATTGCTGCATGTAAAACATGGTTTTGCTATTGTGTGAAACCTTGAATTACCCAGCCAAATATACAGTTTCAGGGTGCCACAGATAGATACATAGAAGCTACAGTAGAATACACACACGCACAGTGTCTCAAACAACATTAACAGTGGCAGACATGGCACAGGATGGTAGCATGCAGCAGCAACAACAGCAGCAGCAGCCACAACAAGGAAGCACTGATGGACAGTCTGGTAACAACCAACAGCAGCAGGAACAGCAGCAGCAACAGCAGCAGCAACAACAACAGGATACTGAAGAGACAGAGAAACCTGGTGCACAACAGCCTGTAGAGGTGGGTGTGATTGGCTGACAATGAGACTGCATTCCCATAACCTTATCATACTAGTAGGATGGATCTATGTCAGTGGGGATTCTTGCTAAGGGTGCAATCAATGTAATTAGCTTACTTGTCTGGCATGCCCCCTCGCAAAGCAACATGAACTACATACTGGACCACAAAGTTTTCCCTGACTCTACCACAGTACATTAAATTACAAAGGGGTGTGCCAGATGTTTAAGCCACTTAAACTGAACTCAATTTAGCAAGGATCCCTGATGAGTTGCATCAATCCAACTAGTACAATAGGGTTATGGGAACGCTGTCTTAGGCCCTCTTCATACTGGACTGGTCCACCTTGACAGGTTCTTGCTGTACATATGAATACACTATAGAAGGCTTAACTCCCTTTCAACGGTTGTCCACAAGTTTGCTTGCTTCCTTCTGTAAAGATCTATTATCAGTTGGCCATGTTGAACCTATTTATGTGGCTTTCTTATGGAATATACAGGCCGTGAAGTTAAATCCATCAAAGTGGACCAACTCAGTAAAGAATGTTGCCTGATTTGAAAAAAGTCTTGGATGTAGAAAAAGTGCCTTCTGTACAAAAGCTACATCGGTCATTACCGTCAATGATGATGATGGTGATGATAATAATTTTTTTAGAACATAAATGTTTCAGTTTTTTTTTTTTTTTAATCACTTCAGACTTTCTCAGTGTGTACCGAAATTTGGTTTGGTTTTTATTCTTGTTTCCAGAAGCTTCGTGCATATTAGCCATGAACAGTGAAACACAAACTGAGTGATGTCAGCTCAGCTTAGTCACTAGCTTATTATAGTTCAGTCTGCTACACTCTTGTATTTATATCATGTGCACTTTTTGTGTAATTGGTGAGATATTCTGGTTTGTGTAATGTTGTGTTTACATTGCAGATATGTTGGTCCTTTTTTTTTTAACCTGTCTGATTGAGCCTAGCACACCACAGGCAACAAATTTGTATTCTTTTTCAGTTAGTTTTATCCTCTGCTCAGTAATAGAGAAGGGTGAGACAGGCGAAGTTTTTTTTTCTTACTGAAAAAAAAAGTGGAAAAAATAACAAGAGGGCTGATATACGAGCAAAGTAAATGTAACTGCACCTTTGCAATATTAATGATGTTATCACCTTAATTGCCATTACTCTGCAAAGTGCCTTGTCAGGAAAACATGTGCCTTGCTCATTTTGCATTCAGATCTCTACTCTTATTTTATATCCAGTGAAAACGTTTGTGTAAATATAGATCTTTGTTGCTTGCAAACTATGCTGTACAGAACTCTGTGCTTTCCTGGTATTGGGTTTGAAATTGAATTAAGAGGTTAAACACTTAGATTACGGTAAATGCTCACTGAATTTGAATTAAATGGATTAATTGACCTATCTTAATTCTTGTTTTGTTGGTTCCATCTTTAAAAACATTGCCTTTAAGTTAAAATTTTGGAGGATGAGTTTAAGTCAAGTTAAGAAGTGTTCTTTTTTTGTTTTAAAGCTAAAATTGATAAATTTGAAATATTGGATTAATTGATATATTCAAAATTTAAGAGTAATTGCCGTACTGGCAGGCGACCAGAATCTATAGAGAGCATATGTTACATGCTGTCATTTGAGGCTTTTAGCTTCAAGTTTTTACACCCATTTTGTATATCATCAGAAAGGAAAAGCTCCAGATAATTGTGTGGCATGTTTTATAAAGGGGATGAATCAAACTGTGAATACATTAATCTGTTGGGACTAGTGATTATCTGTTGGCTGCAGTGCCAGCAATATTGTACTTTGGCGCCCCAGTCTTTGCTGTGCATGCCTTGGAGGCCATTCAAAACAGGTTGATCTGCGGACTAACAGATCTGTGGACTAAATTATAAATATGGCCGACTCACTTAAAAGCAGTGCCGACTAATTCGATGATGGCATCCCTGTCTCCACACGTGCTGCAGTTAAACCTCGGAGCTGAGATTTAATCCTGTTTATGGCGCGTGTGGTGGCGGGGAGACTGTCAGAGGATTAAGCAGTGCTTCTTTGAAGTTTGATCGGCCGTATTTAGTCGGCGGATCAGTTAGTCAGTGGATCATCTGTTCTGAATGGCCTTTTGCATGTGTGTTGGTCATTATAATATTCCCTTAATCCTTGGTCATTTGGAAAAAGATGTTTGCAGGTTGGAAGTACATATATCTGTTCACCTTGGTTGAATAATGTGGTGATAATGGACAGCTATCCTCCACCTGGGTTTAGGGTTTAAGGAAATTTATATGTTGTTAGAACGCTTTAACCAGTCCAGTATGTCCAATGATGTTATCCAAGGCTTCTCGCTGGCATATCTTTGTTTTGAAATAATGCACTGCAAACCACTCACTACAAGTAAGTGGTAAACCCTGGGCAAAAATTACCCATAGACAAGAAAGCCTGTGCTCCTACAAGCTACTTATTTTTGTCATTGCTGTTTACTACAGTATCATGCCATTTCCAGGGTTGTGTCTGCTGCCTGGTGTCCTGTTTTTATAACAGTCTGGTTTATTGAAAATCTAACAGGAGTCAAGTGGGGCCTCTGTTTTCAGATTACTTCGCTGAATGCGCTTAGACAATTCTGAACATAACTCAAGTTCCAAAATATTTTGTAAAATAGACAGTAAAGCATCACAGTCCATGAGAATAAAAGTGGTTTCATTTATTGCATGGTTCCCCAGTTTTATGGTTAGTGATCAATCAGGGACATATTTGGCTACTGTTAATATACTGCGATATGGTAATTATTCAATAAATTCAAACAGCATGAATGAATAATTTCCCCAAATTTGTTTTGTTAATAGTAAAAGATTCATTAGTTTTGAAGATAGAGTTGGTTTCATCTCAAATAGTAGATTTCTGTCATTGTCACTGTCTGATAATGATAAATCAGGGGTCGAAACAGACGGTCGCCCACTCGCCAATGCGACTTAGAAATGTCCCGGGCGACTACCTGTCAGGGGTACTGGTCCGTTTTGGCGACCGCTGGAAAGTGCCGAACATCGTTGCCAAACCCACAGTCTGCGACGTTAAGCACTAGCCCGAGGCAATTGCCCACCTAAAGTGGCACCGGGCTAGTTGAAATTTTATAAAGCACTAGCTGTAATTTTGAACCTATTTTAACACTCAGTAAGATTTCAAAAATATGAGTCGCCAGTCTTCTTTGTCCCTGCCTCTAATTTGACGTTTCTAGATAGTATGATATGCCTCTCAGTTGAAAAAAACTCACACCTAGCTCAAACTACTGAATATTGATTAGTTGCTATAAATAACTTCACTGTAGTTATAAATAGTAGCAGTCTGTCTGATCAGCGTGTCGGCATCTTTTTATTTGACCAGTTTGTTGTCATGACTACAAATTGCCGTCAATCAAGAAACTGGATCAGACCAGAATTCTTTGGTACTAGCAACAGGTTTTGTCAAAACAACACTGTCTCCGAAGCAAGTGTAATGTATGCGTTATCTCATAGAACATTTAGGTTAGGACCACTTAGCAGACTGAGGGGTGGAGTGTTCTATTTCCTTTTTTGTTTATATTTTTTATTTATAATTTTAATGTCCATGAGTAAATACATGGCAGTTACATAAATACCCTATGAACTATTCTTGACAATGTGGGATAGTTCGGTTTATGCCATGGCTACCCCTCCACACTTTGTCCTGGTAAAGTCCTTGAAAAGTTGTTTTTACAAATATATAACCAAAAGAATTGTTACCAAAAAAATTGTAAGACGTTTGCTTAATTACCCTTACAGCACCTATGTATTTTAAATTAGAAGTGGCATTATATACCGATGTAATTGGAAATAAATTGTCAGAAAAGAGCCATTGTCAATAAAAAGAATAGGAATTAAAAAAAAAAAAAGATTTGATTGCATATAAAAAATGGAAAAAAAGATATAATAAAAATATGAAAAGTAAGGGTAACTATATTCAGTATTACAAATTAAAAAAAAAATAATTTTTTCAATATTTAAAGAATTAAATATATTTTTAATTAATTTTACCACCCCATCAACTGGAAATTAACCTGATTGACTTTGTTATCAGGTGCTCAGGTAGGTATGTCAGACAGTTTAGCTAATTCCACAATTGCACTTAAGCAGGAATCCGCTGCAGAGTTGGACCGACCCAGCTTGTATGATGTATGAATCTGAATGCGGTCTTTGCCCTCTGATTTAAAGGTGAGGGGAGGGGCACCCTTATATAATGAATGTCTAGACATTGTGGTGAAGGTCAGAATAAGGAAGTATACTCAGGGATATAACTCTGTTGTCAGGTGGATTCAGTATTGACTCGTTTCCTTCGAACTCAAATTATCATTTATCTTAGGCCGATCTAATGGAATGGAATTTTTTTTTCTATTAGCTGAAAGGTTGTGCCTTGCCTTACTCTAGTATCTAAGTAACTCGGACAAAATGTCAGATCTTAGTGTTCAAAAAAGGTTCAGCAAAGTCTACTGTATGTTAGAAAATGGACACATCTACATCTGTATATTTTTTGTCACCTGCCTATGTTTTATATATTAACATACAATTTATTAATAATAACAAATAAAAAGTCCTTAAAATTAACCTTTTTTTTAACAAGGATGGCAGATTTCCTCTAAATGAAAGAACATCTTTTTAAAGTGGAATGTTCTTTCTTAGATCTTGGCAGAAATTGCTGGCATTGCTGTTTGAAATATAAGTATTGATTGAAAAGTGGATGCAGAACAATAGCAGGGTATAATTTGCGTTGAAGATAATGGATGTAGAGCTAGGATTCATGTAATTTTGAAATCTGACGTATCTCTGATATGCAATAAGCTGTTACTGAGTGATAATCTTAGCTTGGCTTTTCCATAAGTGATAAGAAAAACTGAATGAATGTACACAGCTTTTGCTGGGGTATGTTGTAGTTATTCAATATTAATAGATTGTCACTGCTTGAATTGCATCGAGTCTTATTTTTTTGTATCACATCCTGTTTCATTCAAAATAACCAATTTTAATGGTTGCCTTAGGCAATAAAACCTTCCTAGTTTTCTCTTAGTGTGGAGATCTTTTTAAAATAGCTTTGGGTTAAAGTGTTGGGAGTATTTTATGCTAACATGTAGAAGGTTCTCTTTTCATGTTGCTGTTGCCTGAGTCTGACAGCATAACCAAAGTTAAAGACGCAATTCTTGCTAAGCAATATATGGATAGCAAATATTAGTTTTGCATCAAACTATCTATGATGGCACATGGCTTCAAATGCATGTGAGGCTCAAGAATGGTTATGTTCAAATTATACCATTATATATTTATAATAATTTTGGTCTTTGCTAATTGTCCTGTTTATATTTCCACCAGCATGATGAAACAGGGAATGGGGATGCCCCAGTTGAGCTGGCAGAGGGAGAGGAGCCCGACTTCCCAATAGCTGAGCTGGCCCGCCTGGATGAGATGATCAATCGTCCGCGCTGGGTGGTACCCGTCCTGCCCAAGGGGGAGCTGGAGGTCCTCTTGGAGGCTGCCTTGGACCTGTGCAAGAAGGAGCTGGACACGAGAAGCGAGGCCTGCCAGAGGTTCTTCAGGGAAGGCCTGACCATCTCTTTCACCAAGATCCTCACTGATGACGCTGTCAGTGGATGGAAATATGAAATACATGTGAGTTAGGCTTCAGTAATAGGATGTTTGTTAGTCTGTGCAGCTGTCTCTTAGCATTCCAGGGAATTTTTCTTTGTTTCTTTCTTGATTGATATATTGATTTTGAAAATATATTGATTTTCCCTTTTTCACTAAACAAACAAGGTTAAAAAGAAGTAAGTAATGGATCAGTGACTATATTATGAAAGCATCCTGTTGTTTTTTACCAGTTAAATGTCAGACAGATAGAAATCAGTGACAATATCCTGCATAAGAACAACTGCCAATTTTGACTTCCAAGAAAAAATGCATCTTGGAATCAAATAAGGATGTTGGTTTTCCTGTTTGGATTGACTATGTTTGCATTATTTAAATATTTTTGTTCCAGAAATGCATCATGAAGAACTCAGAGCGTCTGGTTGAGCTGTGTGTTAGCAAACTGGCACAGGACTGGTTCCCTCTCTTAGAGCTACTAGCCATGGCTCTGAACCCTACTTCTAAGTAAGTGGCAATGTTTTATGTAGTGTGTTTTCATGTGTTGGATATTGCCAAACTGATAATACAAAGTCAAAAAAAATAAAATATAGTAAATGGATATATAAGATGAGCTAAAATGAGATGAACTAAAATACTTTAAGACGTCCAGGTATGATTATCTAAATATAAAATATAGATACATATTAATACCCCTGCTGCGTTCTCTGTTATAGGTTTCATGTGTATAACAGCACAAGACAATCTGAGTCAGTTCCTGCTGGGTCCACACCAGCTGAGGATGAGCTGTATGCTAGGCCTCCAGATCCAAGAACTCCCAGGGTAAGTTAAGGAGGCTTATATGTGATGCTTCAGATGAAATATTGATGACATTTTGTGGGTCACTTGTTGATAGAAGTAAGGTGTGAATGATGGAATGTAGCAGTGAATACTCAAAGCATGTTATGTATGGAATTCCCCACAGTGTCTGATATTTGGAGCCATTTTGTTATAAGGTTTTATATTTACTGTGCTGTCTTTAGGAGGAAATTACTTGAAGCGAAATAGTAGGCTTTTTTAAGCAAAATTGCCTTTGTACTCTATTTTTGCTAGATTTGGTGACAACAGAAAATCATTTTACATTTTCATTTTTGTCAAATGTTAAAGTGAACCCAGATTTTTTGAAAGCATTGTGTTCGTAATATGATGATTCCTGTTGATTTGATGCACCCATATGTTCTTGCCTTCAGGGCTGGTTGGTTGATCTGGTCAACAAATTTGGGCAGTTGAATGGATTTCAAATCCTGCTAGATAGATTTACTAAAGGTCCTCAACTGACAGTACCTGTGATTGCTGCTTTGATAAGGTAAGTTTTGACCTTAACATTGCCATGTTTCATGTAGCATCATTATTTCCAATACAGACACACACACCAAACACATGGTGACACCTATCAGATTGATTTCTGAGGTTCTGCTTCTCTAACACATTGTTACACCTTCCACAGTCCTTTAAAACTATGTTCCATGTACACACTGTCATACCTAATACACTTCCACATATAAGTCAGGGAGAAGGGGGGGGGGGTCAACTGCCCTTTTTAACCAGCTTACATACAATCTTTCAATTTTCATAAATGAATACAAGCTTCTTTCATGTCTATATGTCAATCTTTTCCAGGCCATTTGGACTGTGTTTTGAAGTCCTCACCCCACAGACAGTAGAGAAGTATTTCATGCCTGTTGTGGTAAGTGGCAGACATTTAATGCATTCCAGTTTAACATTACAAGAACCATGTCGCAAGTACATTTACATTAGTGTCGTGTAGCATTTTGTTTATCTGGTTTTGTTGAACATAATATTTTTCATGTGTCATACTAGAAGGAAAAACAAAATTTTAAAGTGAAATAAAGGAAAAATTACCATTGGAATTTGAATACTGTTAGCTTTTGGTGAATATTTTACTCACCACTGGAATTCTTGTATTATGTAGTTCTATCTGAAGGTAGATGTCAACATGAATGCAAGAAAGTAGTCTTATCTTTTAGTGACTTACTTTCCTCATTACACAGGAAATTGTCCCAAAGTTCTTAGAAAATCTAACAGATGAAGAATTGAAAAAGGAATCTAAATCAGAAGCCAAAAATGATGCTTTGTCAGGGATTATCAAGGCTTTGAAGTGTCTCATGTCCAGGATTCCCAACCAGGAAGAAACTGTCAAAAATCTAGAGATTTTCAGGTTAAAAATGATACTAAGGTAAGATGAACTTTTTCCTTTGCTGACATACACGCAAATTGAATTTTTTTCTTAGCACTTTACGAGGTCAGCAATGCATTTTGCACTCTGTAATGTCTGGAGGTGGATTAGATTTTTTCAACTGAGATTTTTTTTAAGTCAGATACTGAGAAATAAATGAAACTTTTGTTGTGACTGCCATGTTGCTGCAGATCATTTTATCAGCAAGAAGTATTTTGGTAATCATATACATATTAGAATTGCTTACAGGTGTTTTCAGAATTCATCTGTCAATGACAAGGTGAATTTTCATGAAAAAAACACGAGTATTGAAACTTGTTCCAGGTTGCTGCAGATCTCGTCTTTCAATGGCAAGATGAATGCTCTGAATGAAGTGAACAAGGTGATCACTAGCGTATCCTACTACACACACCGCCATGCTCAGATGGAGGAGGACGAGTGGCTCACAGCAGAAAAGATGGCGGTAAGATGGATAGCTGTGACAGCATCAGTACATTAGGAGCAGAGAAATAGTAGTCAAAAGTTGATACAATTTGGGCAGTGTTTTGACTAAGGCCCCATTCAGAATAGGGGACTAACTAGTCCAAGGGTCAAGTATGGCAACCCACTACAAAGGTTGCCGTCTTATCCGCTTATAGACACTGAATAGATATCCCGTGGGGAAATATTCAAATTGGTCAGACATATCTGACCCTAGGACTAGTTAGTCCCCTATTCTGAATGGGGCCTAAGACCCCAAGTTGCCAGTCTTCGTTAACTGTGTCAGTAAAAAAACAGAGAGGTTTATACTGATGACGTTCCCTGTGCATTCCTAAGAATAAATGCATGGTTTTAGTTCATCAGAGAGAAAAGTGAATTCTTCACCCACCCTCGACTTTTACAGTTGGTACTGTGCCGTGCGGGGCTGGATTTGCGGGTTCATACATCCTTTTTTATCCTATCAAAAATATTAAACTTCACTGCTGTATTTCTCATCTTTTATTTGGCCAGTATCCTTCTTTGCTATAACTTAAGTCTAAAGTATGTATATTTTTTGTTGTGTTTTTCTTTTTCTAGGAGTGGATTCAGGAGAACAAAGTTTTAGACATAGTGTTGAGGGACAGCCTGCACCAGCCCCAGTATGTGGAGAAACTGGAGAAGATCCTTCGCTTCATGATCAAAGAGAAAGCTTTGACGCTGGAGGACTTGGACAAGTTATGGGAGGCACAGGTATAGTAGTAATGATATAATAAGTTTAATAAAACATAGCAACCAAAAGGTTGAAGTTGTTCCAAAATTGAATTAGAATAAAATACAGGAAAAAAACATGGCCTTGTTCTCAACTTTTATCCCAACTTTTCTACATTATTCTGTATGATTACATTATTTATTTTCTCATGCCACAAAATTTAAATTTGTTTTCCAACTTGTACAACATCACATTCCAGGCTGGCAAACATGATGCCATAGTGAAGAATGTCCACGACTTACTGGCCAAGTTAGCCTGGGATTTCTCCCCAGACCAGTTGGACCATCTGTTTGAGTGCTTTCAGGTGAGTGTCAACTCTGTGTTAAGATGGAGAGCATATCTTGTCAGAGGAGTATTGAAATATTGAGTCCAGAAGAGCTGTTAGTCTGAGCACCTTTGCACCTTTTAGTTTTGCTGAAGAGTATTTTCTGCTTTATTTTTTTTTTGATAATTTTGAATATATAACACTGATGACGTTCCCTATGCATTTCGAAGAATAAATGTATGGTTTTAGTTCATCAGAGAGAAAAGTGAATTCTTCACCCACCCTCGACTTTCACAGTTGGTACTGTGCCGTGCGGGGATGGATTTGCGGGTTCAGACACTTGATTTGTGGGGGAAAAAATGACATATGAGTTTGAATTTTTGTAGACTCAAACTGGCATAAATAAGCCAAATGTTAAGGTTCATTTACTTTAGCAAAAGGAAAAAGTGAAAAAATATTTTGAAATTTTGCCATCACTGTTTGTCACTGGTTAAACTTAAAGCAATTGATGTGCCCCATTTGTAGTTACAAATGTTTTACCACTTGTCTCATCACATACACCATACATTTCTAGGGGAGCTGGGCACACGCCTCCAAGAAACAAAGAGAAAAGCTGCTGGAGCTGATCCGCCGTCTGGCAGAGGACGACAAAGAGGGCGTCATGGCAAACAAGGTGCTTGGCCTCCTCTGGAACCTTGCTCACAGCGAGGACGTCCCCACGGACATCATGGACCAGGCCCTGAATGCCCACATCAAGATCCTAGACTATAGCTGCTCGCAGGACAGAGATGCACAGAAGATGCAGTGGATCACAGCCTTCGTGGATGAGCTGAGGAATGATAAGTGGGTGCTCCCTGCCTTGAAGCAGATCAGGGAGATTTGTCAGTTGTTTACAGAGGTGTGTATAGGTTTGTGTGTGTATTACATTCGATGAGAACATTTTGATTCCTGGGTCACACATTGGACCTGCTAATGATGTAAATTTTTCCTAAACTAGTATGTTGCACATTATAGATTTTTTCTGATGCTATAATATAAATTTACTGAAGTAAACTAAAATCCATCTTGTTTATTTTATTTTTATTTTATTTTTTTGAGAAATAAGGGCATAAAAATAAATGTTTAATCGACCTTTAGAGAGCTCATTAATAACTTGTATATCATCTTCCTTTCACAGCAACCCCAGAATTTCACTCACCCACAGAGGACGCCACATGTCTTCTACAGGAACAATGTGATAGGCCAACTCCAGAACACTCACTCCATAGTAATGCTGGTGGCACAGAACCTCACTTTGTATATGAAGAAGGCCAGGGTTTATGCTAAAGGTAAGTTACTGCACTCAGTTGTAGTTTATTTGTGAACAATTAGATGTAATCAGATCAATCTCTAAGACAATGATAGGTTACAAATCATTGTGTAAATTTTCATTTTATTATTATTTTTTTCACAGAGCACCCAGAAATTCAACCTGAAGATATATTACCAGATGGACGTTTTAATCATATACAGCAAGTACAAGAAAGGCTCAAGTTTTTAAGGTAATGGCAACAATATCCCCTGCATGATTGCAAACCAAGATCACAGTAACATTAAAGGGATGCTACTTATTGTGTGACAGGAAAAATTGGTAGGGGGTGGGGGTAGCACGCATCCATACACCCATGTACAGACACACGCACACACATATGCATGCACACGGAAGTGGGATTTCAATGTGTTCTGTTTTCTGTTGTAGGTTTTTGTTAAAAGATGGGCAGCTGTGGCTGTGTGAGCCCCAGGCCAAGCAGATCTGGACCTGCTTAGCAGAGAATGCCATATATCTTAGTGATAGAGAAGCCTGCTTCAAGTGGTTTTCTAAGGTAGGTGTATCTTTCAGATAATACACTAAACAGTTGTAGATGATTATTATAATACCAAATTTAAAAATGAAAGAAAGAAAAAAAGCAACCTTAAAGTGCCAAAATGTGAAGAATATTCCATTTGCATTTTAAAAAGATTTGATCAGAACTCCTTGAAGTAAAATCACATAACCTCATAATTATCTGTATTTAATGCAGATGTTGCAATACATTCTCAAATGTAATGTTGACTGTCTATTTGATTTAATTCTAGTTAATGGGCGAGGAGCCAGACCTTGACCCAGAAATCACCAAAGATTTTTTTGAGAACAATATACTTCAGTTAGAGCCCCCACTACTTACAGAGAATGGAATGAAGTGAGTGCTGACTAGTTCTTCTTTATAATTAAAAAAAGAATTATGACAGAATAAAGATTTTAAAACATTGTTAATGCAAGGGCAATAATACAAACCCAGAAAAAAGAAGAAAAATTAAAAAATGTGGTTAGGTCTTTAGTGTTGTTTACTCAACCTGCAAAATATTACATTGTGTTATTTGAAAGATTAACATAGTATTGAGAATATAATTTAAAATATGTTTCAATCTCTTCCATAATCAACTATTTAATGATGATCCAGTTAACTTGTGAATGAAAAATGTCAATTTTATACATTTGTGCAACTTTTTAACTTAATTCCATTTCGGAATTGTCTTCCAGTTGTTTTGATAGGTTCTTCAAAGCGGTCAATGCCAAAGAGTCTAAGCTAATGGCCAAACGTCGCGGAGGTTATGTGATGGACGACATAGAGTTAATAGGACTGGATTATTTATGGAGGGTGAGGAATCTAAGTTGATTACCCTCAAAATTAGGAGATGAAACTCTCAGAAACATTTAAGGAAAGTTAATAAATTAATGCCTAAAGCATCTTATTGAAAATAACAGGACCTGATAGAAAATGTATGTTTATAGCAAGTAGCAAGATTTACCCAGTTGGCAACATCACTTAATTTTATATATGATTTTTGATCAAGAATGCGAAATGTTGCACAACAATGCGAAATGTAGCATTATTTTATAAATTTAATAATATTTCATCACTAATAGACAGCATTCCATTACGCTACAGGTAGTAATATATGGCAGTGAAGAAGTAGCAGAGAAAGCCGTAGCCCTGATGAGAGAAGTCTATACAAACCTAGGTCCTCACCTCCAGTCTAGCCAGCTGGCGATCCACGAGGACTTCCTGTCTATTTGTCGAGACAGGATGAAGGCCATGTATGACACGGTGACAGCGCTGCAGAAGGACAAGGACAGTGTCAAGGTGGACCAGGAGTCCACGCGGATCATCCGGGTTATGACGTTATTGAGGGAGTATATACAAGAGTGTGATGACACACATGGCGAGGAGAGGGCGATTTTACCTTTGAATAGGTCAGTTGCTGTCGTGGATATTATAGCAGAGATTTCTGTTATGTTTGTCTGTTTGATTCTATGCCAAATTAAATTCGTTTCAGGAATATGGGTGTATTTAAGACTTGCTCACACTTTTGATAAATATGTGTAGATTTTGAATTCACTTTTAATCTTATTTCTAAGTTCTACAACATTGTTGAGAGGCAAAGCTGAGACTTATGTATTGAATCAAAACACACAATTTTTTTTCTCAACAGGGCTTGTCGCGGCAAACACATAGGTATCGTAGTGAGGTTTCCCAATCATGGCCGCCAGGTTGACGACATGGAGGTGTGGTCACATACTAATGACACGATTGGCTCAGTGAGGAGGCAGGTGTTACACAGGTGAGTTGGACCTGTCAGTGGAAGTAGATAAATATAGGTAATTAGGATAGTAAATATATTAAATCATACTTTTTTAAAGGTATGTGTAAATATGAGTATGTGAAATAGGAGTGGCACACTTTCCTGTGGGTGTTGAGACTGCAGTGGCAACATGAATTCCGTTGCTGTTAAAATGATGAAACTTCAAATCTTTATTTAATGAAGACTGAAAGCTGGTAGTAACATGCTGATTTGGAAATTTGATTTGGAAATTAGAATTATTTGATAAGTTTGCTTTGTTTCAGGCTAAAAGCCAACAGTAGTAACCTGAAGTTAGACCTGTATGTCAATGGAGAGATTCTGGACCCCACTGAAGACAGGAGACTGGTGTCACAGGTCCCAATTAGGGATAAAACGGTAAGAGAAACTATTATAACATTATATGTATTTATATTCTGGACCCCACTGAAGACAGGAGACTGGTGTCACAGGTCCCAATTAGGGATAAAACGGTAAAGAGAAACTATTATAACATTATATGTATTTATATTAATGGCATCAATGTTTTTCACCTGAGAATGGAGAATTAAAAAAAAAACTTTTGTTACTGTTATTATACAATGTAAAAACAGCCAAGGTCAGATAGCAACTAATACACAGGCTTTTTCCTGCAAAGTCTGTTATAGAATTATTGCAATGTCTGCAACATCAGCTCCTGTCAGAAGCATCAGACTTGAATATTTGATGTCCGACTTGAAAAAGTTACTAGTTCTATCTGTCTAGTGGAAATTTTAACCAATGGTTTTAGATGATTTTTCCATCACACTTTATTATTGGTACTGGTTTGTATTTTACTTGACTATTAGCTTAATGAGGCTTACAAGTGGTATGAAAAGTTTTAAGGGGAAGAAAGACCATGCATACTGGTGTATATAATCTAAATAATGTGTCCTATTTTATACTTTCAGTTAATCACAGCCAAGTTGTCTCAGATGGGGACCAACATGCCGTCTAGTCCTGATAGCAGTAGTGATAGCTCCACAGGGTCTCCACACACAGCATATGATGGGCCCAATCTGGAGGCAGAGCAACTCTTACCTGGAGTGGTAAGTAGAATATTGTCTTAGGGTGATGATTGTGATGATAAATATAGGTAATTAGGATAGTAAATATATTAAATCATACTTTTTTAAAGGTTAACAGAATTGAAAGCAAAAAATATGATGCACTGGTAAAATTTGCTATTGATTCTATTGATATTTTTAAATGTATCATTTGATATAGCATTTGATATTTTTAACAATAGCATTATTTGCATTGAGGCATTTTTCCAACATGTTGTGCCATTATGACTAAGTGGCATTTTAAAGAGATGTTTCTGAATCTTAGATTCATTAATGAAGTGCACTTATCATATTTCCAGATCATGTGCCATACTGCCCACTATGTACAGTTCTTGTTTCAACTCTCCGACTTGGGAAGCAATCTGCAGATCCCCAAACTACGCGACAGCGCACGTGCGTTACTAAAGATCATCCCTCCTGACAAACACAGCGTGGACAGGTTACGTGGTATCTGTGATCAGCATGCGAAGCACGGCGCAGCCTCTCTTGCTCCAACACTAGAGTCTGTGTTCTTCTGTCAGTCACCAACACAAGTCTTGTATTATCTGGAGGTAAGAAATCCAAGACTGAGTAGCAGTGTGAATTGAGCATCTGAAATAGTGTTTAAAGAGGTGAAACTGGTTTTGAAAAGAACTCGTTTATCTTGATGGAAATTCGTCTGTGTAGTCTTTTGTTTATGACATATGCTTAAATTTTCATTTTCTACACATACCTAACAATGCCTTCAGTCCTTACTGTGCCCTTCCTCAGTGTGTGTTCCTCTGAGACTGATCATTTATGGTCAGTGGAATGTTAAAAACACAAGTCTGTAGTATTTGAAGGTTACAACACTTAACTGATGAAGATTGCTTCTTATCATTTTATCATAAAGTGGATCAGATCAGACATTATTAGTATGTATTTTACTTGCATTGTATCATAATTTTGACATACTATCTTTCTCCAGGTGGCGTACACATTACTGATGCCAGCCTCCAATCCACTGTCAGAGGAAGCGTTCCAGTTCCAGGTGGACTTTATCAAGAGCGGGGGTGTGGCCGCCACGCTGAACATGCTGACAAAGAACAACTTCTTGTCAAATGCTGACTTGCCAACGAAAAGGTAAGGGCATCATGTAGGTCTGAAATCAGTGACACGTCAAAGTGATGAGAAGGCGATAACAGCTAAGTCAACGTAATTATTCATAGTAACAACAAAAACTGTAAGTCTAGAAATAGTACCAGAAGCAGGGCATATATTACAGAACAAGATTGAGAACTGGACATATTAGAACCGAGGTGCTATTGGCCTCAGCAAAATGTTGGAAGAAAGCGAAGTCTACATTCTATAGACTTGCTTGGGAATGTCACAAGTAAAAACTTACGTCCATGTTGATAATAACCTCTGGTGTCCTCATCTCCTCAGGTCTGCCTTCCTCCCCATCCTGAAGATCTGTAAACTCTTGCTGACCACAGTGGGACATGCCATTGTGGGCGTGGTGGCGGAGGCGTGTCAGTCGGACTCTCCCACACAGATCACAGCCAGTGAACACAGTCACGCTGTACTCATACAGACAGCTCTCCACCACATGCCTAACCCTGGCTCAGAGTACATGTTGAGGAATGTGGCAGCCAGGCTTGGGGCTTTTCTGAAGGAAGAGGTGAGGGGTAAAGGGGTATATCGCTTTTTAAGGTCTGAAAATAAATAAATGGATAATTTGGAGTCTTTTGCAGTCATTTTTTTATCCTGTGCATTTCGATCACTTTTGATCGTTTCATGACTTCACAATGGTAGCAGGCTATATTAACACAAGTGGTGAAAGTGTAGAAAAGTTTTATAGTGGTAAATTCTTTGTCAAATTTTTGCTGTAAAAAAAGTAACAAACTAAATGTTGAATTAGGAATTACTTATGTATAAAAGTGCCTTTATCAGGCTGTGGGTACGAAGCCAGACCTAACCACTATCAAGGCCCTGCAGAAGATTGCCTGGGCAGCGTCCAGTGGCTGTGTCCAGCTGGTCAGTGCAACCAGTGAGGACATACATAAGGCTCATGAGAAGGTGAGAGAGAAAAGAGAGAGAGAGAGAGAGAGAGAGGGGGGGGGGATTGGGAGAGGGGTAGACAACTAAATTAAGTGAAAATGAATTGAAAAATAAAATGATTGAGAGTTGCCATAGAGCACACAAAATAGAATACTTATATCTGTAGAGAGAGGGGGTGGAGAATGAGAGAAAGTTTGGTGGCTGGAGGGGGGAACAAAAGTGAACGAAAAAAGGACATTCTAAACAAAGTAAATTAATATGAGTTGCACACACATAATGCATAATAAGTTTACTTTGTTTCTTGCCCATATTCATAGCACACTCATAAACAATATACTTAAATTGACATACTACCAATTCCAGGCTGATAGCAGTAAGCAGGACCCTGAAGATATCAGTGTGTGTAAGGAGTCTCTGGAGTGTCTTACCATCTCCCTGGCTCTGTGTCCCTCTGCCCTGGAGACCCTCAGTAAGGACAAGGCATGGCAGTGCTTTATAGTGGACCTACTACTACTCAGCAAGAGCAGGTATGGCCCTCAGTCATTGTATGTTAAGTTAAAATGTCCATGGGACTGGCAGAAAGACTTTATCAAAAGTTGAGTCAGTTGTGGTTTATTTAAAGAGTTGCCAAATGGAATATTGAATGAATTAGTGAAAAAGGCATTTATAACTTTGCAGCTCTTTGATACAGTTGAAAGAACCAAAATCAGTTTGTGTTTAGCTTTGCACCTGCATGAATGCTCACTCTGCATATGCCCATGTGCAGACACGCAGACACACACACACACACACACACACACACACACACACACACGCACTTTATTTTAAACTTGCCTCTAAAAATCATCCAGACACTGAATCACTGATTAAAGCTCTTCTTGTCCTGCAGGTCTGTGCGTGCTGCCTCCTGTGAGCAGTTATACCTGATAGCCTCCAAGTGCAGCAGTGGACACAGACCCTTGGTCTTTTTTGTCACCCTGCTGTTCACAGTCTTACAGGTGAGAACACTGGTGTACTGCCACACAGTACATTTGGCAGTAGACCAAATCTATAGTGTACTTTGCCTCAAAATAAATTCAAGTTACTGTAATAAATTAGGAAGTTCAGATTTTCTTAAAATTGTGTTTTGTTACTTTTTCAGAGTCATGCTAAGGACTATGCCAAACAAGCGCATGATTATTTCCAGCTTCTTTGTAGGTAAGCTGTAGATATATTTTACATTTATATAACCCTGTCAGATGATTAATTGTAAATTAAGGGAAATTGTACATTATATTTGAAAGATCTGGTAATTACAAATTTCAGCTGTTACCTATTTCCAATGCACACACACACTTGCAAAGTTTCATCTTAACCGAACATAATCATAATTTTAAGGGCTTTTCAGGGAGGAAAAAAATTCACAGGTCTTGAAAAATTCATGGAAAATTGAAAATATTTATAATTTCTCTCTGCCCAGGTTGCTGAATTATGCTTACACCCAGGCCCAAGCTCCACTGCCAAATGCTGAGGTATTGTTGAATAATGAGATCCAGTGGCTGAAGAGAGTTAGGGTAAGTCTACATAAGGGAATATTTATGAAATGTTTTTACAACTGGTTAAAATTGAGGTGAAGGATTTTATTTCTTCTGGCAACTTTAAAAAGAGGGGCAAATTTTTTTTTTCCTGAAAGATAGAAGAATTTATGATTGATACTGTAATAATAATGTCACATTTCAGGATGAGGTGTTAAAAACAGGGGAGGTCCCAGTGGAAGAGGCTCTCCTTGAAGGTCATCTGGGGGTCACCAAGGAACTGATTGCCTTTCAGCCTGTAGAGAAGAAATATAATATAGGAGCTGAAAAGGGAGGGGCTAATCTCATCAAGGTAAACAAGAAAATACTTCGAAGGACTGTAGTTATATTATTTTGTGATTTTTCCCTGTGGCACATATTATTTGGTCTGCAAGGCATTTACCACTTCCAAACTAATCTGGTTGTTTTGTTTAAAGGCTACCATGAATTAGTATAATGTGTTAAATGTGGACAGCATTTTGTCGGTCCTAAGTTAATTAAAATATTTCAATGTTTAGACTGCTTCTTATTTGTAAACCATTTGTTTTTTTGCTCCTCTTGCCCCTTTTGACATTTCCCTGTCTCTTGCGTAACTAATTATAAGTATCATCATCTTCTTTCTACCAACTAGGAAATAGTAGAAGACTTCATTTTCCCTGCCTCCAAGATAGTACTCCAGGTGAGAAAGTTGAACGGGGAGCTTCCCTCAGAACAAGCCATTCCTGTGTGCTCTACCCCCCAGACTGTGATTGCCGCCTTTGACCTGCTGGTCGCGCTGTGTACGGGCTGCGTGCAAAACCTGCGAATGCTTGCAGAGATGCTCACGGACATGTATTACTCAGGTAAGCATTATAACTTGAGTGTTTTTCAGAGAAGGTAGCCCCAGGGTGGACATGCCATGTACAGAACATTTGTGCTCACTGTTATACAGGAATTACTGGCTTTCTAGTTGTGAGCGCTTTTTGTTTAACTGGCCTTAAGTACAAGTCTCACCTTTGTGTTCATCTTTATAATTAGACTTTTTTTACAAAATAAAATTTTGGGATTTCATTTGAGATACAAACTTCACCATTTCACAATCACAATACCAAAAAAAATAATAATAATTATAATAATAATAATACAAGAAAGGGAATAAGTTGAAGATCTTTATAATGACAAGAGATCAGCTGTGGACCTCATTCTTATGACTCCCCCCTTATCTCTCCCTCTCTCCAGGCCATGAACCAGCCCTGACAGAGTGGGAGTACCTGCCTCCAGTAGGGCCACGGCCATACAAAGGTTTTGTAGGCTTGAAGAATGCTGGAGCCACATGTTATATGAACTCTGTACTACAACAGGTGAGTGCGGCAGTGAATTGATGTAGAAGTAAAGTGTCCAGAAGAGATGTATAGGTGGTGTTATTCAATTTGAGAACTTTTAAGCGTATAGGACATAGTTGTAAGTTCACATAAATTGCTTTATCAGAAAAAAAAAGCACTTTATGACCCAATCAATTAAGACAATGTGTGCTTTCAAAATAGATTTTGTGGTGTTGAAATAGTTGTGACTTGTTTTATGTAAACCATGTTTAATATTAGCTACTTTCTCTCTGTATTTTCAGTTATTTATGATCGACCCCATTAGACGAGGCATTCTGGCCGTAGAGGGCGCTGTGGAGGAGTTGGAGGAAGAGGAGACAGAAGAGAAGCATGACAATGAGGTCACATACTACAATCAGGTAAGGTCACATTTTGTGATAGGTCACATGCTACAATCAGGTAAAGTCACATTTTTGATGTGAGGAGCCACAATACAGTTTGAGAGCAGGTACTAAATATTGAATTAAGAAGATGACAATGTGTTGAAGAGGTCAGTCAAGTTATTAATATATATACTATATGTGTTGCAGAGTAACCAAGAAAGCAATGAGGAGGAGAGGAAGGACGAGGAGAAGTCCCCATCTAACAAGGAAGATGACCGTAAGAGCTACCACCTGGGTGTGTGTAGACAGGTCCAGATGATCTTTGGTCATCTAGCCTGCAGCAAACTACAATATTATGTGCCCAGAGGGTTCTGGAAACATTTCAAGTGAGTGGGCTCTGTGGTCCTTAAACTTTACTGCTAAGCTAGAAGACTGTTAGCAATAGGTTTAGAGTTTGTAGCTAAATTTTGAGTGCAATTTTGTAAAAGTGCATTAGTATAACCTTGAGAAACAAGTTTTTAAGTCAGATAGTGATTGGTGAAAGTTGGTTTTTTGGACAAGAAAATACTAAAACTTGAATAAGGATGGAGTAACTGAAAACATTTTTAAAAAATTAAAAATTGTCTTATGAAAAATTTAAAATCTGACAGTTTTTGAACACAATTAATGTCTTTCTTCCAGGCTGTGGGGAGAACCAGTTAACCTACGAGAGCAGCATGATGCATTAGAATTTTTCAACAGTTTAGTAGACAGTTTAGATGAAGCTCTGAAGACAGAGGGACACCCTCCTATACTGTCCAAGGTGCTGGGAGGCTCATTTGCTGACCAGAAGATCTGCAAAGATTGTCCACATAGGTATGTTATGAATTATGTCTTAAACTGGGCATATAGTTAGTTGAATGTCTTAGATTAGGCAGTATTGTCCACATCCGTTTGTCAAGAATTATGTCTTGAACCAGGTGGTATCTTCCATATAGGTAAGTTTCATTTCTTGGATAAGACAGTTTTGTGCACAGGAGGTATATATATATATTTAAGAATGATAATAGTGTGTTTTTGAAAGACTGACAAGCAGCAGTAATAGCCAAATATAAAAGTGTTCAGGACAGTGCTGCTTTTATTCCAGGTATTCTCGTGAGGAGTCGTTCACCACACTCAATGTAGACATTCGCAACCACACCAACTTACTGGAGTCCCTGGAGCAGTATGTGAAGGGGGACCTGCTGGAGGGTGCCAATGCCTACCACTGTGAAAAGTGTAATAAAAAGGTCAGTATTGCAATGTATGTTCACTGTGTGCAGCTATGTCCCTTGCCTCCCTCCCTTCTCTCTCTCTCTCGCACGCATGCACGCACGCACGCACACACACACACACACACACACACACACTTTGTTCATGTTCTCCATCCTGCCTGTGATCTCTTTTTATGCACTATACCAGGCAAATTGGTTTATGGGTGGCCTCTAATTTCTCCCATGCAATGTTTATTTAGATATTCTTGATATTTCACTCCTGTGTTCCAGGTTGACACTGTCAAGAGGCTGTGCATTAAAAAACTACCCAGTATATTAGCCATTCAGCTCAAACGGTTTGACTATGACTGGGAGAGGGAATGTGCAATCAAGTTTAATGATTACTTTGAGTTCCCAAGGGAGTTTGACATGGATCCCTTCACAGTACTGGGGCTGGCAAAGATAGAAGGTAAGCACTGGCAAGGTCTATGTGAAACTACAAATTTTATGATAAATCACCTGTAAACATAGACGTAAAGAAATAAATATTTATTTCTGACCTGCACATTATCAGGAAGAGCTTGGGGTTTCTTGCAGTGCAGGTCCCGGACTTTCAGTATCTCCAAAGTTTTCCCCATGAAGAGTGATATAGTGTTAGCAGCTTGATAAATATATCGCATTTCATTGGTGATTGAACAGAATAGCTGAAAGTTGGTACAAATTACAAGTTGAAATTATTTTCAGACCTTGGTATCTTCCATTTCCAATAACCATTTACCTCATTGCTGATAACTGATTTTATGGGCCTATTTCAGGTGAAATGATAGAGGAGGACATCACAGACCTGACCAAGACACAGTGTACAAAGTACAGACTGATTGGGGTGGTGGTCCACAGTGGACAGGCCAGTGGTGGTCACTACTACTCGTATATATTACACAGGTGAGTGGTCACTATACAAAGTACAGACTGATTGGGGTGGTGGTCCACAGTGGACAGGCCAGTGGTGGTCACTACTACTCATATATATTACACAGGTGAGAGGTCGCTATATGAGGTGGAATTATAGATAATGTGATATGTTTAGTTTTCAAATGAACAGAAATTACATCTGCTACAGCTAGACTAGTTCAGTCTGGCTAGTAACTTAGAATAATCCCTTTTAGGCCGATAGCAAAACTTTATCATTTATTGAAGATTAATCAATACTTGTCTCCTAACCTAAAGTTTGATGAAGATTTTCCTACAATTTTGGTAGACGGAGAAATAACTTTCCCACCAAATATACCCTAAAAGGTACATAAAAAGTTTGCAGCCTTGAACAGTACTCATAAACTCATAACTACAGTGATATCTTCTATTACTCATTAATCACTGTGGTACATTGCTATCTATAGGGCTGGCTCAGAGCAGGCTAAATGGTACAAGTTTGATGATGGAGAGGTGACAGAGTGCAAGATGGAGGATGATGAGGAAATGAAGAACCAGTGTTTTGGTGGGGAATATCTGGGTGAAGTGTTTGACCACATGTTGAAGAGGTAAGTAAAAACTATATGGAGAATCAAGGAGTGGTGTAAAATGCCAAATGGAACAAGGAGATATCTTTTTTATGTACAGACACAGATGTGTCTGTACATATTGCCATCACCTGCGTCTGTCGTCGCCGATGGCGATGCCGATGCCGATGCCGGCGACGTGCACTTTCCTTGTAAACACGATAAGTGGAGGGCAGTTTTACTTTTTGGCTTTATATTTACAGAGCTGATGAATATTCATAAAACGCAGGTCAAGTTCGAAAATCAGTATGATCGGGCCATTATTGTAGAAGTTATGCTGTTTTTTCACTTTTCAGCATATTTTTCACATTTCCTCAGATTCAATTCTTAGGCATGTTAACAGTCTCATTATTAAACTAATAAGATACATAAAAGTGTTTGTTTGACATTTCCTGCATCTTTACAACATTGTTAGTTGATTTTGTAAAAAAGATGGTAAACTTGTTATCATGTATTGTGTAATAAAGTTTCAAAAATAGAAAAAAACTCATATCATTGCAGTTTGTCAGATTCAATCATTCACTATGTTCAGAATCTCAGAATGGAAGAAATTGGACATTTAACACTGCTCTGTTGATATTTTTCCCATCTCATCAATTTTCTTAGTTGATCATATAAAAATGGCAGTAAACTGTTAATTTTGTTTTATGTTAAAAATTGTTAAAAATG